AGTCAGGACACAGAGGACAAAACAATGTACTAGATATGCAAATGTAATGATTTTTGAAGCCTAATTGTCTATACGATCGGTCAAGCGCACCCTTACATCGCATCCGTTGTTGCATTTGTCAGCATGCAGTGTCGGAATCCATACGATACGCAATGTGATTGGAATTAGAATATTTATATCGCTTTATTTAAGATACATACCAAGCCTTAGCAGACTATCACAATATCTGGGCATTCATATAATCAAGTAAAATTATGACGACGTGTCTGCAATCCATTATCAGACGCATACCATTCTGGCTCTAAGTTGCACACGCATCGCCTGAATGTTGACTACTTCATAATCATGTCCCATAATTAGACAGGCGTGTAATTACATATCAGCAAATAACAAGCATGGACAATCATGATGAATACTCATAACTAATATATTGTATTACACGCCGAACCTGGTTTTGCTGATGGCCTGCCGCCATACTCCTACCGCAACACGATCACATCGTGGACCGGCGCAACAACAGAAATCTTCCACCCTTGACACTGGCACCGCTCCGCCTCGGGCTTGATCTTCTTCTTGTGGGGCCTCTCATCTTACGTTCAGTGAACTCGGATACCACCCCTGCATTCCATCCGATTACCATTGAAAAGGTGCATTTATTATGCAGATATGATTGCATGCACTGTACAGGATTTCAGATGCTATATTTATCATCAATGCTTGTCCTAGACGTGCATTGCTGACGAGATGCCAGCGCATGACGCCTAGCTAGAGACTTGCAGTTAATGTATGCGAATCACAGCCGCCAATGATTCTACCACGCCTCTTCCATATTCACAAGAGCCTAGCTGCAAGAACCACGTAAGGGTGTAAGCTTTTTTAAGCATCACCCGCAACTGATAGGGGTCACTACATGTATGCTGCGAGATGATTCATACAATGGCATCTCCACATTGCAGACAAGGACTTCACAAGACAACTTGAAGTACAAGGGTCCCGCAACTAACACACTTCAAGGCGCCGCCACACAAGTTGCTCTTTTTTGAACTACAACTATGGCTAAAGGTGTCCTAAACTCTGATGGCTGTTTCTTCGTTGGCACGATGCTAGCAACATGGTGCGTTTTAGCAGCCAAGTCATCCTTCGTCTGCACATCATCAATGAAAATGTGAAACAGGCTTTATGGATGCTCTCTGGCGCAAACCATGTACTACATGAAAACATACAGTAAGGATAGAATCTATTTAAAGATCTTGGAAGTGCTCGTAAAAAAGACTCCCTATCTAACCAGCCCATGTCTGAAATTGCATAGGGCCGCTCTCAGGTAGCCACTCTGTTTCTGCTCGATACTATCAGAACAGCTGCTTATATCCAGGTATAGTGGCATCATGTTCGCTAGAAACCACTCACTTGACTGTACTGTAACAGATGACTTGGGTATGGTTGATCATCGGTCATGCAAATCCCGTTGTGGTTCTCGTTTTACCCAGGTTAGAATCTCGCCTTACCTCAGTTTTCGTTGAATTTCAAAGATACGGAATCATGCAGGAGCATTGCAGTACGTAGAAGTGATATTTCGTTGTTCAAAATGTCTCACTGTCTTTGCGAACTCAGGCGGTAGAAATCAGTTCTGTTACTTCTGTAAGCACTCAACCTGTACATATTTTAACCGCCCTCTAACTTGTTTCTGTCTGTTATCCTAAGATTTTGGAACTACTCTTGGTGCAAAGGTATACTTAATTTCCTCAACAGGCCCTTCTCATTGCTCATGACTTCGTTTTGTCAGTTTCTTCATTAGCAACATTTGGAGACGTGAGTGGATATTGGGAAGCTGTCCTTTTCCCTGTAATTCACTGTGTACTAGTCCTGAAGTCCACTCGGTGGCGGATCCCTCTGTCGTTGATCGCTGTAAGCACAATACGTCGACTTTCTGATATCTAGACTGACTGGCATTTAGGCTCCCTTGTCTATAACATCAGCAGGTAGGATGTCCTGGACACGTTGCATGTAAACACCTGATCTCAGCCAATGATCACTAAAAACTTAGGGGGCAATGCAGGTAACAATTTCTCTGAAGATATTGAACGCCATCTGAAATCTTGTTGTTGGAATCTAGCTGTCTTGTATTTCGAGTGAGTAGTTCGGCTTGTGCTGATCTGTGCTTATATTTGTGTCCCGACAGAACTTCACATAAAACCTTCTCAAATATTGAGGCTTACGAGCAGGTATAATGGACACATAATACAAAGAAACGCAGCAGCTGAAATATAGCGAATACTATAGGTCGCGGGAATTGTAGAAGTTGTGTCAACGTTCGCAACGGACCTATACATCAATGTCTCCCTCTTGATCATACTTTACCAGCAAAGGACTGGTCTCAGGCGGTAACCTCAACTTTGATTTCATCACCAACAGAAATAACTGTGTTTTGTCTAGAACGGAGCGCATGCTTGCGAAATTGAGCACCTATACTATGCAACGCGGGACCCTCCTTGTGTTTGTACATTTGGCGGCATATCTAATTGACTGATATCTGACAAGGCCTTGAAAGCATTGTGCAATTGTTGTCCTTTATCAACCTAGGCAAGGTTTGTATATGCTATAAATATGACGCATTGTATTTGACTACTTTTTGTTCAGAACAACTCAATGCCCCTGATAGCGGACACGATCCATGTGATGGCCCCCTTACGTGAGCTATCAGTCTCCAATTTGACATTCAATTTTGACGAGAGAGTGTCATAGTATACACCAACACATTATTAGCGGTGTGAGTATATTAACAATGACCTGCTTTGGCGTAATTTTGGTTAATCATCCTATTACTACCCTAACAGCTTGAATGTCCGCCATCACATCGTGGACAGCGTTGCGGATGCCTTCACTCCCATGTCCGATCCAGTCTCCATCTCGTCGCTCTAGTGACTTCGGCATACTCTCTACCTACACCGGCTAAATCCACGAGTGTTGAACCAGTGCGTCGGTATCACTGTGACATACACTCACACTGAATCGCAGAGAAGCGGCATCACAAGACTTTGGAAGAGACGACGACGACGTTTCGGAGGAAGATAGTTCACCCATTGACCCTTACTATATCTCTGTGAAGCGAAATCCGGTATTATTAGTCTCACTGAATGTATCTTCCTCTCGCATACATCTAGAAACCGTGCTACTCATTGGGACTTCGCGGGAGGTAAACTAGCTTCCATTGTGTTTTGTGTCTAAAAACCTGATTTTGCGTTGAACTGCACAATTCCTCGATCCACACGGAGAGTAAGGCATGAATGCGTGACACTGTAAAATTCTCATATGATGGTTTGGGTTCAGAACTGCAGGCTTTCTTAATTGTTGAATTCTAGCTGTATATCCGCTTGAGGGCCAACTGCAAGCTTCACTTCAGACCCTGCCTATATGTGTATTCTCCTACTAAAACTTCTCAGATGTTTCATGATGTGACTCTCGCTGTACTGTTTTGTGGTAATCGTACATTTGATTCATGATAATTCTGCAAAGCCGACAGCGTTGCGGTTAGTTGAGAAGGCGGTGTAAGTGTTCATCATGAGCCTGCCGACGTGACCATTTCATTAGCAACCCCATCATTAAGGGATCATATTCGGAACGTACGTGTCGCCAAGAAGCCAGACGTTGGTGCCTAAGCCGAGGTCCTGGCCGCCAAGAGCACCAACGCACTGCCCACTGCCGGCCGATCCAATGTTGAAGCTGAGATCCATCCGTCAGCGTGTGCATTCACGCAGCGCAGATGGCGGGTGATACGTACTCATCAGCGCTGATAGACCAAATCTTGCCTCCCCAGGAGAATGCGATTGAGGGCGCGTTATCACAGGGGAAGGAGTACAAGCCCTCGTCGGAATCGTACACTTTCGAACCCTGGATATTCCCGTAAAGCTTCTTCACTGCGCTCGGAGGGCCGTACATGAGAGTGGTGCCGCTGAGAAGCGTCGTCAGCATAACGTCGTGCGGGGAGACAAATCGGCGGGTCTGTCAGCTCACCTATCGATGATAGTCTGGAAGCCCGAGGCGGCAGTCTCGCCATTGACTATTGCACTCGCACCACCGATCTGCCAGTAGCCCACGGATGAGGAGAGAGCGTGGTATTCGATCGAGCCGGAGTAGAGCGACGAATCCGTGCCGCCAAGGTAGAGTTCCGAGCCGCTGCTGGCGAGCTTGAACGCGAAGACACCCTCAGAGACTGCGCCCTGCTCGACAGCAGTCTGGAAGAAAGGGTCCTGCGAAGCAAGGTCAGATGAGCGGAGAGGCGGGGAAACGACAATGCGCACAGCGTTGAGTGAAGAGATCGCGGGGAAGCCCATGCCGAGGAGACCATCCGCGGCGTCTCCGACGAGGTCGCCAGACTCACTGGTGACCGCGGAAAGCGTTTGGCCGGTCACCTTGACGGCGGCAACGCTGACTGTTCTCCTTCAGGTATCAGCACCGCCCTGCTATGCTTGCACACGCACATACCTGTGTCGGCGTAGATGGGACCCGACGCTTCGGAGCCGTCGCCGTATTCGATCTGGAACGTGCCGCTCTTCTTCTTGCTCGAAGAAGAGCTCGACGCCTTGTACGATGAGGATGCCTTGCAGCCGCTGCACGACGAGGAGGGCACCCAGAGGTCAGACGAACCCGTGTCGAAATCAATCGTGAATTTCTGCGCGGGCGTGCCGATGGAGACCGTGCCAGTCCACTCCGTGTTCTCTTCCTGGTCCTTCAGCGACTCGGACTGCCGCGCCTGCACCGACGCGGGAACTGTCGCGAGCGGCGGGATGTATGCCCCTTCATTGAAGTGCTCAAGGCCGACATTGCGGTTAAGGTTGATCAAGTTCTGGCGATGCTTGCTGTTCTCAGCATGAGTACTAGATTGATAGAGACAACTTGGGGGACAGGTACTTCGCGACACGAACGCGTTGCCTAATGGCGGCATCGCGATCGAAGGTGCCGTCAGCCTTGGTGAGCGAGTTCCGTTTGGCGAGCGGAATACGAATACCAGTCTCTTGTGTGATCGGGCTGGCACTCGCAACGAGGGCGAGGGCGACGATGAGGAGCGAGGCCTTGCAGGACATTGCGGATGCGGAGCGGCGATCAGAAGCTAAGAGGGACGGACGATTGATCCAGGAGATGACCTGATGAGTCTGCGGGACGAAGAGGCAGGCTTATATATGTTTCTCCTTGTCCACTATCTGTCTCACCGCATGCTCGTTCGTGTCCACCCATGGGGAACACAACGACACCGAGAGGACAACCGGCTGCCGGCGGCAGTTCAGCCCGATCGTGAGGGGTCTACACGCACCCTTTTCGAGTATATCTCTGCCTCGAGCATGTGGCTTCTCGGTGGTAGTGCAGCGCACAGCGCGAGTGCATAGGCAATGCCACATTCTAAATTGAGGCTCAATCAACCACCATATACCAAATTGGACGGCCACGCACCTCGAACACTCGTAGCGTGTGGGGATATCTTAGGTCTTGGCTGATGGCATCACACATTCCCGAACCGCCGGACTACTTTCCGACCTGTCGATGGCACAAACGCCTCTTGGAAACGAGTCGTTGAGCTCGCTTCAAAGCCTTGTCCACTGCGTTTGCATGCGGTGAGATTGCTTCCAGAGGGTTTGGCTACGCTGTACTATCGGGTCAGCATGCGTATCCTCACGAGATGCAGGGAACCCTTGGCCGGCATGTACAGCAACGATCAGTAGAGTCGTGAAGCATGTGGTGAGGGTGGATAGTATGCGGAACCTATACTAACGGGGGGAATCGGGAGGCGAATGGACGGAGAGGTCCACGCGCCCCACACGCGCCCCATGCTGACCGAGGACGCCAAGGCGATTGTGGTCCGGACCTAGACATTTGCCGCGCCGGTGATTGAAGGTGGAAACGGCTAACGCCATGGACAATAATATCTTTGAGGAGGTGAACAGTCTAAAACCTCCATGTTGCACCAAATCCTCGAGAAGTGAGCTCAACGAGAAGTAGGACTGCCCATTCGGTGTGCGCATGAGGCCTGTCAATGATCTGGTTCGTATCGCGGGTGCTGGCTTGCGTCAGGATGGGTATCAAGGCAACCTTTCATGATATTGGACAAGGTAAACCGTGCCATACACAGGCATAGTCGGCGCGTGGAGCTGTAAGACATTGATACCAAGACGCACGCTGCAAATCTTAGTGAGACGTCATACGGACCACCCAGCTGCTCGAGATTGCTTCACGTTAGGAAACCACTGTAGTATGCCAGACGAAGATCTGACTAGATGCAACCCGCGCAAAACATCCTGAGGCTTGCTTTTCCTGTATGTCTCAGCTGAGACCTGCAGGGCTGCAGTGCAATTTGTAGTCTCCGGCACGCAGCACAAAATAACGCCATTTTTTGGGCGAGGGCATGATGGTGGAATGAGGAAAAACGAGTTGTCCTAATTCGGACAATTGTTTGTCAAAGGCTTCTGAGCCAAACAAACGGTACGAGATCACATGATCGTATTCCATGCGCGATCGTGTCTTGAGAATGTGGGCTACGTGTTTGCTGATGTACTCCAGGTCGAACTCGGCTTGTCTTTGCTGAATCGACATTTGAATTATACAACTCTGCATCATGGACACCGCGATACCACCAACACCTGTGGGGTGCGTGTCTATGCGGCACATTCTGCTCTCAGAGATCCTTGCTGTTACTTCTGTAATGCGCAAGAACTCAAGATGGGCACTGTCTACGCACTCCTTCAAATCACGAGAATCTGCACTTGCAAACAGCCTGGGGCTCAGGAGGGTGAGAAACGTCCCTGAGGGAAATGCTACGCGTCGTGGGAGCACGGAGCAGGAGCTGATGGGTGGCTTCCAAGAGCTGAAACGGATTGTGAAGGACGCAGAAGGTGCGCATATAAGTTGGGTGCAAAATTGCATATTCTGAGATGTGGGGCATTAGATGTACGCACACTACCCTTGACCACGCTTCTCGGACCGTTTCTCGCCATCATTCGGTCCCCTCTGTCCACCGGACCCATCACCTCAGCCGCTCTTACCTCTATTCATAATTTCTTCGTTTGCAATTTGATCCACGTATCTTCCAACAACCTCCCTGCTGCGCTTTCAGAACTTAGCAACTCTATCTCGCGCTGTAAATTTGAGACCAGCGACTCTTCTGGCGATGAGGTTGTTCTTCTCAAGATCATGGCCGTCATCCAGGAGACACTATGCGGTTCCATAGGCCATACACTGGGAGATGTCGAAGTCTGCGAGATGCTGGAGACAGTGCTGACGACGTGTTGCCAAATGCGCCTGAGCGGTACGTCGTTGTACCGTATCCTGGACGCGAGTACTGAGAAATGGTCGAAGAGATCTTACGGCGGTCAGCTGAGTCAGTAATGCATCGACTCGTGCGAACAGTGTGCTCGCGACTGCATGTTCTAGACCCTGTCACAGAGGAGGCCAAGCTGTCCAGCAATGGGTATGATGTGGTAGAGCAAGAAGGCGGCATGAGTATAAGCAACAATTCTATTGCGGAAGTTGCAGATGAGAGTGGGGTTAGCGGTTCGCAATCTGCAGAGACCCTAGCCCAGCAAGAGCCTCTTGAGCCTCAAGCGCAAGTACAGCGAGAGCAATGTGAGCGTTCTTCGATCATGATTGCTCCGCATAATTGGATGTCACTGAACTATATCAAGACGGGCTTGCGTCAATCATTGAGTTGTTGCGTGTGGTGATCAACGTGCTAGATCCAAATGACCCACTTCACACGGATTCTATCCGCCTCACCGCTCTCCGCATCCTCAATGTTGCGCTCGAGGTGTCTGGGACACGGATTTGCGAGTTCCCCTCGCTTTCAGCGCTCATCGTGGACCAGGCGTGCAAATTCCTTTTTCAACTCGCGCGCTCAGACCATCATGCTGTGCTTCAGGCAACCTTACGTACCATCGCGACCATGTTTGAGACGATGCGTCCGAAGCTGAAGTTACAGCAAGAACTCTTTCTTGCGTTCACTATTGACCGCTTGGCGCCACCCGCCCCTGCCAAGGCGTCCTCCGGGCTCGGTGCGAAGTCGGCCGGCGCATCACCGAGGCCATCGACGCCCATTCCTCCGGGCTTGGATTCCGAGACCGAGAAGGCCCCGTCAACGCCGCGACTTTTGGTCGCCCCTGCTCGTGGTGACACGCGGGAGCTCCTCCTCGAGACGCTCGCTCAAATTTCTCGGCACCCGAGCTTCATGGTCGATCTGTATACCAACTACGATTGTGACATGAATTGCGAGAACATGTTCGAACGTGTAATCGAGTTCGCCACCAAAGTATGTGCACAGAGTCATCTACCGTGAACCCTTCTAATTATTCCTCGGGCAGGGAATCTACCCGTCGCAGTCCCTCGGAGGGCACGAAGGCCCGCAGCAGAATGCGCAAGGCTTGTGCTTGGATCTGGTGCTCTCATTTGTGAACCACATGGCGTTCCGCGCTCAAGGTGTCTGTACACTCCAGTCCGTCATGGTCGTGCAATCACTTATGGGCGTTGCGATTCTAGCAAACTGATCCTTGGTCGACAGTGAGTCGTGCGTGGTGTACATATAAATGCATTGACTTTAGCTTTCTTTCAGGCGTTCACCTCTCCCAAAGAACTTCAGCACACAAAGTCTCGGAAGAAATTGCTACTCACGGGCACCGCACGCTTCAATGCTAAGCCGAAGACCGGTATCGCCTTCCTCGAGGAGAACAAGCTAATTTACACGGATCCAAACGAGCCTCGGCCCCTCAGTTTAGCAAAGTTCCTCAAAAGCTCGGCTCGAATGGACAAGCGCCTCCTAGGAGATTTCCTATCGAGGCAGGAAAACAACGAAGTCCTCAAAGCATTTATGGGCCTCCTTGATTTCGGGAATGTCAGTAGATTGAAACCTCACGTCTCCACGATATTGCTGACATGTGTGTAGAAATCGGTTGCCGAGGCCCTGCGGGAGCTTTTGGAGACCTTCAGACTGCCCGGTGAATCGCAGCAGATTGACCGCATTACCGAGACATTCGCGGAATCGTATTTTGCCACGAATCCACGTCAGTTTTCACTTTGTCCTGCACCTCCTGGTTGTCTGACTCACATTTGCACAGCTGAAATCAAGTCTCAGGACGCGGTTTATGTTCTCGCGTTCTCCATAATCATGCTCAACACCGACTTACATAATCCTCAAGTTAGAGTACGTCCGATATGCAGTGGCCGTTCTGCACATATTCACTTGTTTACAGAAAAGAATGACGATTGAGGACTATATGCGCAACTTGAGAAGTGTTAACGCAGGCGACGATTTCTCGCCAGAGTTCCTGGTTTGTTTGGGGGTGTCTTCTGTGCAATTTAGGCACTGACGGTTGAGATTCAGCGAAACATCTACGACTCAATACGCAAGCGCGAGATTATCATGCCCGAGGAACACACAGGTCAGGCAGGATTCGAGTATGCCTGGAAAGATCTCTTGGCGCGGTCACGGCAAACAGGTCAGCGACTTCGCCCATTATCACGCAAACAGTACATGACGGTGTTTGACAGGAGATCTGATGATATGCAACACTTCGCTCTTTGACATTGACATGTTCAAGGCCGTATGGAGGCCTGTCGTGTCTGCAATAGCCTATGCCTTCATAACCTTCGACGACGACTATATCATTGAGCGTGCGATCACTGGGTTCCGACAATGCGCTACACTCGCCAGACATTTCGGAATGCCGGATGTCTTCGACTACGTCGTTGTTCAGCTATCCCAAGCCACTGGGCTAGTCTCTGAAATGTCCACGTCGCAGGTTCCTAACTATCCCGTAGTGGATAATGATGGTCAGCCGATTACCGTGTCGTCGCTGTCGGTCAGATTCGGGACGAATCTCAAGGGACAGCTGGCTGCTGTGGTTCTGTTCAACATAGTCAATGGTAACGGTAACGCGCTGCGAGAAGGCTGGACACAGGTGAGCAAGGCCCCACGTCTTCGAGAGTTCTGTACTCAATGTGTCTTCAGATCTTCGAGATGTTCCAGACTCTGTTCTTGCACTCTCTCCTGCCTATACAGATGTTGCAGATGGAGGACTTCTTAGGCGGTGTTTCCATCATACCGCTGCGCAGAAGTCAACCTGCTCGTGCTGCTCCTCGATCCGATGGTCTTCTGTCGGCACTGTCATCATACCTTATGACCCCGTACTCCTCAAGCTCTGAAACACTGGTTCCCGAGGCGACGGATAGCGATGTTGAGCACACGCTGTCCACCATTGATTGCATCAACTCTTGCCGTCTCGACGGACTGTATAGTCAGATCATGTACGTCATCATGGATGGCCCTGTAAATATTATTGACTTGGGCTCTAGGCAGCTGGATTCAGACGCTCTCGTTGCCGCAGTTCGTGCACTTGAAGCCCTAGCTCATGAACGAACGGTGGCTCGTCTCACGCAAGAAGCAGACGAGATGCCGCAAGGGGATGCTGTAGCGCAGGACGGACCATATGCACTCCCGTATGATCCGGCCTCGGTGTTCCTCCTAGAGACTATGGTCAGCATCGCCAGCCAGACACCACAATACATTGAAGAGGTTTGGTGCGTGAACAGTCTATCCTCTTCGGCCTGTCAGGACATGACGCAGGCTCTAAAGGCCTGTCATCTTCGAGCACCTTTCGGCGCTTCTGTCAACAGCAATGCAGTACAGTATACTCTTGATCGAGAGAGCAGTGGTCGGTCTTCTTCGGCTCTGCTATATACTTGCACAGAAGGTGAGAGGGCGAATCTCATTCCTTAGATCTCGTGTAGCTGAAAAAATGCTCCAGCCATCTCTACGCGATCAGGTCTTTGTCTCCTTCGATGTGTTGGCCGGTCTTCCACCGCAAATAGCGAGCGCCGTTGCCGAGCAAATCGTGGCGGGTTTGACTCGAATCGTAAGAGACCACAAAGACATTGTCAAGTCGCAGACAGAGTGGAACCTCGTCTTTGCTTTGATTCGTGCCACAATCCAACATGCGGAGGCATCTCGTCAATCGTTTGAGCTTGTCTCAGCTTTGCTGTCCGATGCGCCGGAGCAGCGTGTCACGCCAGACAACGTCACCGGTTTGGTCACTGTTTTGGATGACTTCGTGACCGCTGCGTCGGCTGCTGTAGAAGCTCAACAGCAAGGACGGCGGATACAGACCTTGAATACTTCTAAGTGAGTGTGCACAACTCACTGTCACGTTCAGTTCTAACAGTTCTGAAGCTCTCCTGTTGTCGAGCGGGGTCGTAAGGCCATCGACATGTTAGCTGATCTCAAGAGGTTCTGGGCGCCGTTCATGGAGAATACAAGTATTCCTCAGGAGCAAGGTATGCGAGTTCTCGCTAAATGCAATGCTATAATAACCATTTTGCTAGTGTGGCGGCAGTATTGTCTGCCTATTCTTACTTCTCTTGGCCGTCAGTGCATCAATGTATCCCGTGAAGTCAGGCATGCAGCTCTGGTGCACCTGCAGCGCATCATTCTTGGACCACACTTGCCGCTCGACATTATGAATCACAGTCAAGTAGAAGAAGTCTTCGATAAAGTGCTGTTTCCATTACTCGACGAGCTTCTCAAACCTCAAGTCTTGATGCGCGATCCCCTCAGCCTTCCGGAAGCTCGACTGCGTGCGTCTGCTTTGTTATGCAAGGCATTTATGCATCTCGAGGCCCGGGAGGGCCAACAATCGGATATTCGTGTATTGTGGATGCGGGTATTGGACCTGCTAGAACGGTTGATGCACGTTGATCGCAGAGATCCCTTGGTAAGCTACATGCACCTTGTAAATATATCATTGCTCACATACGACCCTTGGTAGCGCGAAGCTGTGCCGGAATCGCTCAAGAATGTGTTGCTCGTCATGAGCGCCACGGGGATACTAGTGCCACCTTCGTCTCCAGATAGCAGACGCGACGACGCACAGCAACAATTATGGACCACGACTCATGAGAAGATTGAGCGCTTCTTACCAGGTTTCCTGGACGACGTGCTCCCGTCACCTGCACCGTCACCACTCCCATACATGGACACATCGTTACCCAGCGCCCCAGCGACTCCTATACCATCATAGTTCGTCAACTAGGCACCGCCCATCATGTAGCAAAGCATGTATCTATTATTCCGCTTCATCCTCATCTCATGGACCCTTTCGCGGCGTCTTGTTATCTTACGTTACCTCTGCTGCGCCACAACATGTAATCTATCTTCCTCATGACACTCCTGGTGCCTCATACCGCAAGCCGCCAAGTAAGTGCAGTGTTGGATGCAGACATTCGAGGCCTCACTTAGTCGAAGAAAATATCCCTTGACACCGTTGACCAAGCCAGTAATGTGGATTCTGTGCTCGCGATGCTATTCCTGTATTCCAGAGTGGGATTCACACGGAGATTGTCATGACGGCACGTATATGTTGAGCCTCAGCCATAGCCCACTTGCATTCTATCGGACGACTGTCCTACATATGCATCAACAGACTATCAATGACTATCCCTCATTCCAGCTCGTCCAACGCGAAGCCCTCACGCGCATACAGCTCCTCGTCTAGTTCGCGCGCAGACAACACCTCGACTGCGCGTGTAAGGAGCTCCTGGTCCTCACGCTTCAGCGAGGATCCGATCTGTTCGATCCCCTCCATGGCCTTGCCAATGACAGGGGCTAGATGGTGCGCTCTCTTCCGGTTGGCGGCCTCGATCCCAAGTCGCAAGTGCTCGAGGTGCTCGCGCCCAACGTGCTTCGGGACGGCGGGCTTCAGGGGCTGCACACCATTTTCCATGATATTCGTGTGCTCCCATATACGGTAAGACATGCTGCTGGGATCACCGGCGTATCCGCCATTGAGGCGCGCAGGCACGCGCGGAAAGTGTGAGTGAGATGACCGGTGCATCTCGTCGGGGCCGGCATACTTCGGAATTGGCTCGAAGCTGAAGACCTCGCTTCTCGCGGTGTGCGCTTGTGCGGCAGCGCGCGCGTAGTGTGTGTAGCCTGGGCTCACGCGGACGCCGAGCCCTTGAAGGCGTATCTTATTCCTGCCAATCCCACGTGTATAGAGCCCATCGTTCTCAGAAGCACGCGCCGCAAGCAGGCGGTCCAATCCCAGCTCGTGAGCGACCAGCTCGTCCGCAATCGCACGTGCGAAGAGCTCCTGGTCCTCACGCCTGACGCTCTTGTGTATGATGTGCGGCGGCGAGCAGCCCAACATAGTGCTCGAGATCTTCTATAGGCGGTAGGACATGCTGCTGGGGTCGCCGTGATATGATGATCCGGTAACGCACTGGACCCCGGAACGTGAGTGTACGGTGTGCTCCGCATCCAGAGCTCTGTGCAGATTGACGTTAGCAATGTATATAATAGCCCAGCAAGTCTGAAGAGCCTAGGGGGGGAAGGGAGCGGCCAGGGCCGGTGCGACCGACTAGATGGCGAGGGCGACGGGGACTGCGATACAGGCGCGCATGGTGAGAATTGGACGATAGAAGGGAGATCAGAGGGTAATCGAAGTGTTGATCGTAGGCGTGAGCTGGTGTCGTCAAAGTAGCCTAAAGATCGTAATGAAGTATGGCTATAACCGACCGCGAGTCAATGGGGCAAAAAGGTTTTTAGGCTGCGCGGGTACTCACCAACCAATGCCAGTACTCGTAGGTCGTATGGGCTCTGAAAGAGAAGGTAGGCTGAGAGCTGAGGTGTGCTGATAGAACGCGGACAGCTTTATAGCGCACATTGCAGCCCTACGGTCCTGCAGTCGAGGTTAACGTCTGTCGGGAGTGCTGAGGCGACATCGCGCACATTTGCCAACGCTAGGCACTAGAATGAGATACGGTCACACAACGGCGAGGAACGCGTACGGTAGAGGCATATATTCGCTGAGGATATCATGGTGGCACCCGCATATCTCATGCTGTCAAAGCGGAGCTGCAACACAGAATACGGCGGGTACAAGGCGAAGAGCACGATATCTGATCGGGACACACTGTCAGGTTAGCGTGATCTACGCCTTTTGAATGTACATTGTGTGGAACGTGGACGTGATGAACAAGCCGTAGCTCGCAGCTTTCTCCCGCGCGATCCATGCATATTGTCATAACAAGTGCAGCGAGTGGATATCCTGCAGGGATATCACGTTGGTGCGCAGCATTCTGAGTACTGTGCAGGCATCTCGCGGAGGTGCGACATGTACGACACTAGTCGACGGGAGCAGCAGCAGTATTGACGATCTTCCCGCCAACACTGACAGGCCTGCACAGCCCACCGTTATCAAAAACCTCGTCTTAGCGCACAACGCAGTATCAGAGCCGTGCTGCAGTGCCGTCTCATATCAAGGGCAACATATCGATAGGTTTGTTCAGCGGGAAGGGCACTGCGCAATTAGATGCTACGCATGCGCTTCAGTCTACTGCCAATAACTCCACGTCGCTAACATCAGAATAACACGAGAGATCCCGCGGAAGCCTGTCCTCTCCTCCTCGTGGGACCATTGGCCAGGGCCTGCCACGGGAGCTAAGGTTCGAGTGGACGCACGAAGGCACGTATTCATATGGCATTCCCACGAGACCTCATTGGAAGGCTTCGCCGCGGGTCTCCTGGTGGAGGAACCTCTGTTTAACTTCAGTGTTGCTATATACACACCCGTAGCGTGGCATCCCGTAGAATCAAGTTCCCAATGGCGGCCACTTCGCACATCTCTGTATTGAGAGCTTCGTCAGCTGCGCTGAATTGCGAACACTTGACAACAAATCCGGTAACGAAAGATCTCTCCTTGTATGTTGTTGTCCGCGGCGAAATTCGGGTAGAAACAACGGCAACGGCGTAGGACGACAGCATAGTATAGTAGACGCTTGATTCGCATAGTGCTAGACGGGATTGCGCACACACCTATATATAAGGTTTGATCTGCCAGCGGGAATGTCCGAAGCGAAGTGGCGAGACGCCACAGTATGAAACTTCCAGAATTAATGATTGACCAGCCCATATTACATTGAAAGTAATGTGTCGAGAGCTTGTTCAGACCATCTTCGCAGACTCGGTCGCACTAAATTGTATGACGCATCTCCCTATCACAGTAGGATCCTTTCCTGATTTGGCACCCGCCAAATCCCGACTCGAGTCTCGCGGCTCGCCGAGACGCCGATATTGAGTTGATCACGACAAGGCTTTACAGATGCGTTGGGTTCAACAGATGCCATTGGAGGTCGACAGCAGGTTAGCAGTAGTGTGCTCCTGCCACAATTTGCAGGTACCGGGTACCTGGATCGGCTCAGGCTCCGTAGTCCCGGCCTCGATAATAATGAGCTTTAGTCTGTACTAGTCGTTTCAACCTGATGCTATGTCAGCTGTACATTACAAAACCTCTATGCTGGCGCTCCGTAAGTTTCTTAGTTATTCCTGTCAAGTACGTGATTTATACGCCTTTTGTGCATGACAAGAGCGCTAGCTCGCCTCACCTCTCACCCGTCTCCACAGCTGACGACGACGACAGTCTGATTGACCGTTCCCGTGCAATTCGATGTCCGTCTTTTTGTCTAGGCGGATGTGTGCTCTTCCCGCGAGCCTGATACTTGATCCAACCGACGGAGTCGGAGACCAGGGTGGAATAGGAGCGCTCCAGAGGAGCCTCGATAATGGGCACGCGCCCCATGACGTCATGAAATAGCAGGGAGGAAGCCGGGAATCAACTCGGGACGGCGGCGGACGGCGGCTACTTGTCCAGAAACGTCCAGCCGCCTCCAGCCGCCGGCATCGGGCCCATCGGCATCGGGCTGTCCGATCGCTCCTTCGTCGGGCGATCACTAGCTCAGTACCACGTGCGTCATGCGCCCGCCTTTCCGCCAACGTTCGATTCAGTCTTAATCGCAAACCTACATTCGCTGAGATTATACAGCGAACGATGGTCGGGAACGTGACTGGGAAGATGCTGCTCAAGGCGCGGGGAAGCGCGGACGCAATGAGAAGGACCGCAACGCGCCGGACTAGAACGGTCGACTAGCACGGAACTCGTGCTTTCGGCGGGTCTCGAGAGCATTCGAATCTGGGCGCTGAACCACACTTCTGACATCTTGTCTAGGCGGGTTCCCACCCATGACGATATCGCCCAGCCAAGCGTGTGAGTCAGCCAGTTCGACCTCCGGAGCTTCTCGTCAGCCTCCGGGCTAACGATTGGCTGACCGCTGGCTGACTTCACCCTGGTCCAGTATATAACTCGGGCCCGGAGCATGGCTCCTGTCTTTAGTTGTCTACCGACATCTGCCACGACCCCCGACGCCTAACGACCTTCGTCCCCCCCTTCCTACCCTTCCAAGTACTTCTCATTTGCGATTGACCAAGCATTAGCAATGGCAAACGACGCACTTGACCTCAACCCCCCGAACGCCAATGAGAACCTTAGCACCCATGGCTCAGACTGGCTATGGGCTGCGTTCTCCGTCATCGCGCTTTCCTTCCTCGTCGCAGTTGGTGTGATGTTCTCGGTGAGCGCATATATTTTCCGAGATACTTGCCCTCCGTGTTCTAACAACCCCTATGCAGCGTCCCCGCGGTGCTCGTCTCTTCCACCAGATTGCTGTTATCGTCCTTGCCACATCCAGCATTGCTTACTTCTCCATGGCGTCTGACCTCGGTGCAACTCCCATCCGTGTCGAATTCCGCGGCCATGGCGGGGACCCCACCCGTCAGATTTACGTAAGTGTCTCTTCCATTCCGCGTCTGTCAGCCGCATGCTCACACCGACCTGCCGCGCAGTACGTCCGCTACATCCAGTGGTTCATCAACTTCCCGCTCCTGCTTCTCGAGATCCTGCTCGCGTCCGGTCTCCCGCTCTCCGACATCATCACCACCCTCTTCATGAGCTGGGTCGTCGTCATCTGCGGTCTGGTCGGCGCGCTCGTTCACAGCACTTACAAGTGGGGTTACTACACCATGGGTGCTGTGGCGCTGATCTACATCTGGTACGCTTCACCTCCTCGTTGTCTCTCTTCCGTCTCCTTATATCCCTTCGCAGGTTCTCGCTGCTCTGGCACGCGCCGTCGTCGACCTTCTCAGCAGGCGGTGTCGTGCGCCGCGGCTACTACGCCGGCGCGGGCTACTTCTCGTTCATCCTCATCACCTACCCCATCGCGTGGGCCTGCGCGGAGGGCGGCAACGTGATCAGCGTCACGTCCGAGATGATCTGGTACGGCATCCTCGACATCTTCGCGGGCCCCATCTTCCTCGCGCTCTTCCTCTGGGAGGTCCGTGACATCGACTACGCCACGCTCGGCTTCGGCGGTGGCCGCTTTGTCAATGGGGCTGGGGCTGGGGCCGGGGTTGTGCCGGTGACGGAGAAGGGCGCGAACCCTGCTACCACGGCTGCGCCCGTGATTCCAACGGGCCCGACGGGCGAGCAGGCTGCGTGAGCGTGCACGGGCTCCCGAAAATGTTGTCCGTCGCCTTTCATCGCTCGCCGCATCTTCCTTCCATTCCTGCCCTTCCATTCCTGTACATACCCTCCCCGCCTTTCATGCCACCACGATCGAATGACTACCCCTCCCCCTTCACGAACCCCCTCCCTTCTGATGTTGGCGTCATGACCTTCCTACCCTACACACATTTAATTTCATTGTGTAATCTGTAATCACTCGAGCTACGGCGCCTTCCTCTTCGTGTTGTTTTACTAGCGACGTCTTGTACCTTTAGTACTGGGTCGCACCAATGCGCATTGATCTTTGCGGATCCACCAGACCATGCCACTGCCAGATATTTTATTTCAATAGTGGTAGGTTGCATTCAGTAAAAACAAGAGGCAGGATGAGGTGCTAGGAGGGAACTGGAGGCTGACCTCTAAATTACGTCGCTGAACGCTATGATACAGGTCGAGCCCCAGCCTTAGCTGCAAAACTCCCGATACCCTTGCACCCCCGCCCCCATAAATGATCGGATTTGTGATGCCGCAATAACCGTGACCAAGCATTTCACTGTCCTTGAAATCATATGAAATTCTTTTGCCTGAGGCTCTCACCTCCGGTCTGACTCAGAGTAAGCGGACGACTCGTCGGAGAGTCTTTTTTTCGAGTAACTTCTGACGGCAATGCCACGTCCAAGGACGCGATGGCCACAACGGACTCGAGCGGAGTCAGAAAGGGACCTGTCGACCACCGTGGGGCCACACGCATCCTACGCGAGCGGACCTTCAGACCGGCACCGTCACACTGTGACATTGTGTTACCTCGCCATCTATAACGGGATTTACGGGGACAGCCAATCATATGGGGGAGGTCCTCGTGACACACTCTAAATGCTCGTGACCGCATGGCGTTGTGATTGGCTGGTCTGGCCCATGCAGCCCTAAGGCGCTTATACGAGGTACGTCTCCACATTTCTTTTCGCAAATGGTCTTAAGTTGTTCGATGTCTGTCTTCGTTCGTTTGCTCGTAAGGACTTCCAGGAGGCGAGAGGCGAGAGACAGTTGTTTATTATCAATCGTCAAGGATTACCATACCAAGGACTAGGGTGAAACCCCTCAGAGCCCCGATCTACAAATGAACTCCCAGAGGAGTCACCTAGAGGCTACATTCTGCTTGCCGGCGTTCAACTCGTGTCTCTCTTGCCCTGTGTTTGACATGATAAGAAATTGATTGACAGCTGTTGGTGTCTCGAGCTTATTCCAGCTGGACACATCGATGGCCGCCATCTCAGGAAACCCGCTAATGGTGCGTCCATGAAAAAGTGAGAACTGTTGATTATGTTTCATTTTCAGCGAAGAACTCATGCTGCTGAACGGTACAGCGGAATGGTTGTCTTTCGCACATGAAGGCCGATCTGATACGAGCGTAATCGCTACCTGCCGTCGTTCCCCCAGTGACTAAGTATGCTTACTTTGGTCCAGAATTGTGAAACGCATGACTCAAGGTTGACGTCTGTGACGTCCATGTCCAGTTCTCATCTCGTTGGAAATGAAGGAATGACGGGTCGTCGGACCATATCGCTCCGCGGTCAATTCAAACGGCGGGACAGTGACACCATCTTTGTGTTCCCGCCATCTTATATAGCGACTGAAACGGTCTGTTCCCCTTGTGCTGTTACTCGAGCCCTCAGATAGGCGAAAATGTCTCAGGCAGAAACACAAGCGTTGAGGCGGGCCAGGTTCGAGGCAGTCTTCCTCGTTCTCAGAGAGGAGGTCCTGGAGCACTGCGCATCAGAGGGCCTGCCTGACGACGCCATCCAATGGTACAGCAGGGTGCGTTCCCAGATATCATCTTCAGGCAGGACAGGATCTTCATGATGAGGATCATTATGATGCGCGGCAGAACCTCACGTACAACGTCACGGGCGGAAAGCTCAACCGCGGACTCGCGGTCGTCGATACCATCGAGATACTCAAGGGCCGGAGCCTGTCCGACAGCGAGTTCTTCCGCGCCTCTCTTCTGGGCTGGTGTGTCGAGCTGGTATGCGTGCTACCCTTCCTATTGGCAGCGTGACCACGCTAATTTAGCAGTACGCGCCGCGTTACAGCTGCAGGCCGTGTTCCTCGTTTCGGACGACATGATGGACCGGTGTGCGACGCGCCGCGGGAAGCCATGCTACTATCGCCTCGACGGCGTTAACCACATCGCTGTGAACGACTCGACGATGCTCGAAGCGGCCATCTTCCACTTACTCCGGGTGCACTTCCGCTCCGAGCCGTACTACGTGCACCTGCTCGAGCTGTTCCACGAGGTGCGCTTGTGATGACGTAGGCTGCGCCCATCAGGTTATCTAAAAGGATAATGGTTGTGCAGGTTACCCACAAGACAGAGATGGGCCAGCTGCTCGACCTGATCACAGCGCCAGAGGGTCGTGTTGATCTGCACGCATTCTCACTTGAGAGGTATGTACCCGGCTTCACCCGACGCGCTATCAGCCTGACGAACGCGCCCCGGGTCTGATAGACACCGGAACATCGTCACCAAAAAGACCTCATATTACTCCTTTTACCTCCCCGTCGCGATTTCCATGCATATGTGTGGCATCCCGCACTTGGCCCTGCCCTCGTCATCGTGCGCGCCATCTGGCCCATATGACATCGCGCGGGATATCCTCCTCCCGCTTGGGGAGTACTTTCAGGTACAGGATGACTTCCTCGACTTCGCGGGCACGCCCGAGCAGCTCGGCAAGGCCGGCACGGACATCGTCGACGGCAAGTGCTCATGGTGCGTCAACACTGCGCTCGCGCACGTGACTCCCGCGCAACGAGCGCTGCTGGACGCGGACTACGGTAGGAACGACCCTGCCGCCGAGGTTCGCGTAAAGGCGCTGTATGAGGACATCGGTCTCCGTGGGTTGTACGAGCAGTACGAGAAGGCGGCGTATAAGAGGATCATAGCCCTGATCGAGACAATTCCCGAGCATCCGGCGTCAGAGGATTCTGGGTCGGTGGTCCTGAAGCGGGAGGTTTTCACGAGCTTTCTGGATAAAATCAACAAGAGGCAGAAGTGAGACTCCTGTTGTTTCTCTGTGATGTGCTTGGAGCACAGCACGCGCACTTTTAGGACTTGCCCATTGCGAGATGGTATGCATTAAAGGCTGTTGCCTTGCATGATACTGCACTAGGGGCGAATCTCAGCTGCATTGTACAATTCACTCGTCATGCTTTCCGAGAATGCTAATGGAATGGTTTTTTTTCTATGTCGAGGATTTTAGCCCTTACATGAGGGTCGAAGGGAACAGGTATGATATTGATTCCATAGGCACTCCGCTACATGAATGGATCGACAAGATTATAGGCCTCAGGGAGCTTGATACACCCCGACCTTCAGAGGAAGACGAGGCGTGTTGTTGTCCTTCCCTACAGTCGGGTAATTCACCGGCCCCATGTTCCACACTATGGACGCTGTAGTCGGCTGGAAGGTGAAGGTGGAGAGCAACACAGACAAGACGATCTCTGCATGGGTCACTCCTCATTAGTGCACGCATTTGCGTTCTCATTGACTCATTGAGAGACATACTCATCTCCATCTCCGAGAACTTGAATCCGCTGAAAGCGTAGTCTACGTGAGAATACAGTCAAACGTGCAGTCACGAAGACACATACATGCAGGCGCGCCTCCCGCCAAGGAACGTCATTCTGCGTGCAAGACGTTAGCATCACTTACACAGACTGAGTAGTCGAGAGCTCACATATTAGAGTATACACCGGGGACAGATGCCTGCTTCAACGCATCCGGCAGGTCGGACAGCCACCGTTCGGGCTTCCATTCGAGGGAGTCCTCGCCCCAAAGAGACTTGTTGACGTTGCAAGCCCACATACCGACAAGGACTTCTGTGCCTTTAGCAACGGGGATCTCGTAAATCATCTTGCCATCGAGACCTCGAATCGGTTCAGATAGCAGAAGCACTGTGTCTTTGTTGGGCCTGGAATAGTACAACGATGTCAACAAATGCAAGTAGCACGGTCCTTCAATATGTACACCCGCATTGATACAACGGTCTTATACTCCTATACCGATGCCTGACTCGTAGACAACGAGCGAGGACTTATGGACAGTACGTCGTCCTGAAGATCGAGCGAGGAAGTCGAGAATGACCACTACCCCAAGCGAAGAGGAGCAGAGACCTGAATGAATAACCAGGTCGAACTTAGGGTTCGACTGACTAATGGTACAACTACTTATACAAGTACCGACTACGCACGGACCATCGTGTCTATGTGGTCGTGTTAGTGAAGAAAGGAATGTAGTGGTACGATGCCGAGTACGAAGTGCGCACGGACCCCATTATGTAAGCTACATAATGTTCAACCTGCGGGTGAGCGCTAAGACAGGCGCCAGTATGGGCGCTAGTAGTACAAGGAATAGAACGGAAAGACAAATGTTTCATTACCCCCCTGCCAGAGTCGAAGTCCCATTCGACTACTTACTGCTCACCATCTCCATACAACTCCCAATCTACGCCGTCG